ACCTGTGAGGAGACACTTAGAGATTGATATTAACTATTTAATTGTTCATGTAAAGCTGTCAAGGTCAGGCACACTGTGTGTTACAAAGGCTGATTTCATACAGCCCCCTGATTGATATCAGTGTCTGAAAAAGTTGTCAGCTCCCACTGAAGCTTCTCCCATGACCAGGGCAATCATAAACGTGTGTACTTTTTCACCTCTTGTCCAAGCACTAACGTGGATTCTTGCACAGCTAACAAGACAGTGAACTAACTTTTCTAGCAGTCAGGGCATGGAAAGGATCTCTTTTCTCTGCCAGAGAGCTGTTTCCTGAAATTTGTACAGACTTAACTGTCTCTGAGAACTGACCTCCTTTGCTGCATTCAGTTGACACTGACAATGGATTTGCTAGTCATTAAGGGAAGGGGAAGAAGTACTTCAACAGACAGACACTGTGACCACATACCTTTGAGGCCACTGTTTAAAAAACAACAAGGAAGTAAAACCAAAGGGGAAATGCAGACCTGTGCTGGAAACGCCCATTCATTTGTCAGTGGGCAAGATTAGTGTTTGAAACCATTTGTGAAATGTTGGTTTACCTACTCAAGAAAAAGAAAAAAAGGAAAAAAGAAAGAAAGCTCAGACACCCCCTCGGTATCTTTGAGCTCCACCAAAGTGCAGACAATCTCACAAAACCAAATCTACAAACGCTCAATCCAGAAAGCATGGCATTTGCAAAACTCCAAGGAGATTGTTGGATCATGTTGGATGAGTTCAGAGACTTTGCGGACATGACTTGGACATTTCCATCACGTACTGCATGTAGGGCCTCATTTTTGTGATTGACATGGCCAGGAGCGTATTTTGCAGATGGGGTCTGGCAAAGTGTCAGCACCTTTTATTTTCTGTTTCTGCTTAGTGTGGACACAGGGGTCAGCCAAGACTGTCTGTTGAAAGCAACAGGTTGTTTTGTGCCATCGTTTTTCTAGCCGTGCTTTCAGCTGATGTTAGTGGTAAAGAGATCACTTTAATATCTGGATACAGAGTCTGAGCCCATGGAATTTCTCAGTGTAGCGGAGGCTCTCGCTGTACCAGGGAGGCAGGAGGGCAGTAAGAAGAAGAGAAAACAATGGATCCCTGTTTTGAGTTCTTACTAATTTTTAAACTAGTGTAAAATACTAGTGAAAAGGGACTTTTGTCTAAAATGTTTGGACATTACATTTATTGTCTTACTCTGTAGGAACATGTTCAATACAAACAAACAAACAAGAAAAGCCTGACAACTTTTGTCATTGTTAGGAACATGGGGATGCCATTGCTGATTGGAAACAAAACTACATCCAGGAAATATTTGTTGCCATAGTGACCATATTTCGTTGATTCCTTTTTCTGCTGTACAGATCTGGTTTAATTAATTCAGATATTTATAAATAGCTCCCCATGGGGACAAAACTAATGGCTGCAAAGTAAAGTTGCAAAGACTTTGGATGTGCAGCTCTGTACGGACAGATGGAGCCCCCGCATCGGCAAAGCCATTAATGTGAGTACACAGTTTTAAGCATTGCATCTCATTCAACAGAACTGTGTGTGTGCTTAAACTCATACATGTGCTGCAATAGTTTGCTGCAGTTGACAGCAGATAGTGAGCATTTCTATTTTAAACTGTGTGGTTTGTTTTGATCTAACTTTCATAAACTCCAGTGGAAATAAGTCCTTAAGTAGTTACACCATTAGTCATACTAGGAGTGGCTTACTCGGCAGTTGCTGTGAGCATTGGAGAAAATATGGGCACATACACCTTTCATGGTTTCATGTTCCTTCCACTAATCCCCAGCCTCTGCAAGTTGTCCTCTGCAGCCCTTTTCTTCTTATTTTTGTTTATACTAGTGTTAGGGAAATGGTTAAAACACATGCATTTTACAATTGCCTGAAAGGGAATTTTTCTGGAATTGTGCAAATTGAGCATGCGGTATGTATAATCTACAATAGTTCAGGTCCCTTCTGTAGGAAATTCTCTTGAAAGCTTCATCATAGTCAGGTGCCAAAAGTCTTGCAGTTATTCTGCATCATTTGCTTAGCATATGAGTTCCACGTCCTCTGATTCTGTTGTCCCAGGTATTAATTCTGCCTTGTAAATGCAATCACACAGTCACTTTGGGAGTAAAAGCGTATGCAACTGGTTGCCTCCACATTTGGCACATCAGCGTGCATTAGCATGTTGTCCAGCATCAGGATAGCAAGGGACAGCTGAAACTGGAGGAACAGAGAGAGAAAAGTCCAGAAGCAACTTAAAAGTTACAATGACACAAATCGCCATCTGCGAAGACAAATAATCAGAAAACTGGTTAACACCTCTAGCATCATCTTTATCCATACTCCTTTCACGTATTTTCAGACCATAGTTTGTATCAGACATTTGACACCTTTACTAGCCTTCTGCACTCAGTCTTTTCTAAAATCTGGCTTTTGCAGTGCAAATCTGTTTTTGTCTAAGAGTCAGAATCCAGGTGGCATTTCTACAAGAACAGTTGGTTTTCTTTTTTATGCTCCTCAGTTTCCCTGAGGTGCTGTTCTTACTTTCTCCACCCAGAAATTACATGATCTTTGCCATTTTCTTAGACTTATGGAGACCCAGACTCCAGGTCCCTCAGACTGCAAACACAAAGAGGATGAGTGAACCGATCTTCAGAATTCACTTTCACCTGCACTGTGAATCCCCAGGAAATGCTCAAGACATCCTGATATTGTATTGGCAGATGTCCCATGGCAACACCTGGTCAGGGAAGTTTGTGGTGCTGGATGTCCCTCTTGGAGCTGTGCTGCTGGACTGGAGCAAGGTCTCTTCCCACAGTATTTATTTTAGAATATCCATCAGCTGAGGAGGCCTGGTATCTACTTTCCTTACTTTAGCATGCGTGCTTGTGGGCAGCTTGCCCTCCATTTTACCCTGCTGAAGTATTCTGGGGCGGGTTGCAATGATCCTCTTCCATGGAGGGGCTTTTCAGAGAGGAACAGCAGCTCGCCCAGAGCTGGGCTGAAGGCTAGGCAAGGAGGGGTGCCAAAGCTGTCTGTGTCCTGGCCCTTCTCCTGTCTCATGGGAACAGGGGCAACAGTCTCTCCCACAGCAGGAGGCTTTCTGGGATAATTACTTGATAATTGCGAGCTTTTCTGTTCTGCAGTCCTCACTGTAGCTTCCTCTCAGTACAGTTGCATTGAATTTAGTGGGAGATTGTTCAAATAAATGACAAGTGTCTCAGTTTTTAACCCAGTAAGTTCATGTCTTAGAGCAGCAATGTTGCGACAAGCAGATGCTTTTGTTCTCTGTGCTATATTTATCAGAGATTTGGAAATTTTACACCCCAAAACAATGCAATTAGTGTGGAAAGGAAAAGTGCTCTTCGATGCGTCTCATCACACCTCTGGGCGAGGAGGGCGATTTTGTGTCAGAAGCTGAAACAGGCAAAATCAAATGAAGGAGGCAAGGACGGGCATCCCTCTGCCTTGGCAAAACCAGGAAAGGACATGCGGGAGAACCCCTCAGAGGAGGACCCAGACAATCCCAGAAGGATTAAGCTGTGATATACTGTACACGGTAACCAGAGCTGAACCTGGCAACACGTGGCCCCGCGAAGCGTGGCTCCAGCGCTCTGTGTGCAAGAGGCTGTTGTCCATCAGCTCCAGCATGACCCCGTGCAGGCTGTTATGACAGCTGTTGGAAACTGTTATGTCAGCGTACCCTTTCGGTCTCTTCAGGAATAGAAGATGCTGTGCTCTTTTGGATTTTTTAGTGCCCCGCTTAGTCTGGATCACAAGTTAGTGAGACATTGATAATTTTAACCCTGTACTGTGCAGGTCTTTTTGTTTATATTGCTGGCACGCGCTCTTTGCTTCTGACAAACACTCCCAGAGGAAGCCTATGCAGAAAGTGGCTGGAATAACTTATCTTTCCTTACACCTTTATCTTCTCTCCTTCTTCTGCAGAACATTGCTACATTAGCACTGTATTCTTTTAAAAGAAACTTCTCCGCCTGAAGTTTCCTTTTAGCACTATGTTATTTCTTTTCCAGTAATTTTGTAAGGGACAGTGCCAGTTTGGGCTTTACCTTCATAACAAATGCACTACAATTTTTTTCTGCTCTCAAACTTGCACAAATCCACTGTAATGCCAATTTTACAATTGCATTCTTTGCTGTTCTACCCCTGCTGCTGTTTGATTTTCAGAGTGAAAGGAAGAAGATAAATATTTATATAAGGGAAACTGCATTTACATAATAAATAAACAGAAAAAGCAGAGAAATAATCCCCCCCTCTGCTCTTTAAGTTTCAGTATCACTGCATGTAGGCTGTTTCAAAGAGAAGTGTGCCTCCTACCCTCATCCCAGCTTCAGCAGACATCCCTTCAACTGCTCGTACTCCTTTTTAATTCCTTTGCATGAAAGAAAAACTCCCATTGTGTCTCAGAAATTCAATATGATATGGAAACCAGATAGGTTGTTTGGTTTTGTTTTAAAAAAGAAATGTCTCCTGCCCAGTGTTAGTATGGCAAGGAAATTTGATTATCACTTGTTGACAGGCATGCAGGTCATGTCAAGTGTTTCTGACATGTCTATTTTAAGTTAAGCTAGAATTTGTATTTTGATTATGACAGAGTAAAAATACTTGGACAATAGATAGTCTTTGCCTGTGAATGAAAATTGGAATATGCAAGTTATGGTCAGACGGAATTCTATTAGGGAGATGAGGCTTTGATTGGGTCACTGCCCAGATGTCCTAATTAAAAAAAAAAAAAAAAAAAAAAAAAGAACCAAAGCCCCCATGCCACCCTCCCTCCCTCCTGTTACTTTGGAGAACACGATCACAGCAACACAGGAGAAATAACAAGTAATTACTTGTGAAAGACAACTGGAGATTTTCCTCTTGCCCATTTTAGTCGAGCCATAAAGTATCCGTCTCCTTCTGCTTAACCGTCTGGTTTATTCCACAAGCCCGCATTTCTGCAGCATTGCAAGGCGTTTTAAGTGTTAAATACCCTGCGGGTCCCGGCTCCTTTGGCTCGCAGCAGTAACTAACTCGATCAGCGTCAACAGCTGAGAGCCAGAACGAAGCCGGTGTGTGGTCAGGAGCAGGGCTCCTAGCTGGCTTGCCGGCATGCTGAAATCAGTCGGCCCCCTTCCTGCCTTCGGGAGCCGGCCGCAGCCGCGTCGCTGCGCAGCCCGCTGCAAGCCCGCAGCAGCTGGCCGAAGCAAGCTGGAGTCCTCTAGGTCTGTAGGTCTGAAACGAGGGGTTGTGTCTCTGTGTGGGGTCTGTAACCTCAGCAGCAAAGTAGAGAGCCCAGTTACAGGTCATTTATCTCTGCCAATACTTGGGGTCGTGGGCTCACCAGAAGTGGCGTCCCAATTTGCAATGGGGTCGTGACCAGAAAACATTTGGAGATGGCTAACAAGGGCACGAGGTTTGAGTAGTCCTCGGTAGAACAAACTTTAAGCGTTGCTTTCCAAGCAGTTGTCACGTGAAGTCTGGAAGCAAGGGCTTTGTTGGTCGGTATTCAGCTCACTCCTTTTGGAAGCAGGCTGGTTCTCGGAATAAAAAAATTGTCAGAGGATGTGAATGTTTCTGAAGAGGGGGATGCTGAAATTTTGCTGGATTCAGTGTCTCTTTGGTCTTTATCCAGCTCTGAGCTCAAAGGCAACACTTGTGATAATACATTTTCTTCACCATAGAGACAAATGCACCTCCTGAGGGAAAAACAGTTGCTTTGACATTTCAGGCTGGGAAACCTGTCCTTGACACATGCACAGGCCCTGATACATGGTGTCTTGGCTTCGCATGCTTACGGCTGTCTGGGAGGCTGGCACCGTCCCTGTTCAAAGGCAGTGGCATGCCAGCGCCGCACTGGTGAGGTCCCCAGTGGAGATGTTTGCACTGGGAAGGTGGCAGAGCACAGCAAATATCATCTCTGTCATAAGGGATGATGTTCTCTGCATTAGCCATGGCGCTGTGCACTTGCTCACACGCGGTAACGTATTTCTGTTAGCAAAAGCCCCGATGGGACAGGGGAAAAAAGAAACAGAGCTTATGTTATGTTGTGGCTGCCAGCAGTCACAAACTGCACCGTGGCAGGAATCTGAGTGTAAGAATCAACTGTGTTTTCAGACTTCTTCTAGGAGGTGCAGTCTTGATTTGCAGAGCTACCAAAGACCTGCAGTGCTCATACTTTCAGCTTGATGGGGGAGTAGTCATTCTGGAAATCTTTTCCAAGGGATTTAAAATCAAGTCCCGGGCTAGTAACAGTACTGTACAACTAAATATTGGTGCCCAAAGGACTAGATAGCACAGAAAAAGCAGAGAAAAAGCGACTGGGCAGAGAGGTGACTATGATGGAACATAAATCATTAATATGAGCGATAAGGTGAAGCACAAATTAGGGGAACATTCATATTCTACAGTATTATTACTGTGGTTCTGCATCCATAGTCAACGTGCCATAACACTGGCTGGCCAAGACTACGTAAAAACTTGACCCTAACAAACGTACTCTTGGAAGGTGATGAGGCTCTGATAGTTATGGAGAATTCAATACAGCAGGCTCTACTGCCTGTTTGTTCTTCTTCACCATTATAATTCTCCTTCAGCAAAATAAGTGCTTACTTACTAGCTGATTACAGAGCTGAGAGGTTATAGGGCCATAAAACCAGAGGACACTAAGAGATGATATCTACATGTGACAGTAAGATGAGCAATCACATCCAAACACAAACTATGCCATTAGTATTACTTACTTTTAAAGCGCCATTATCCCTGCATTGTTCTCTCTCATTAACAATTAGTCATTCAGGCCCTTGAGAACTTTAATACAATAATCCCTACAAGCTCATCAAGCAGATCTCACACAGTTGCAATGTTTCATACAAGATTTATAAGACGGAACTGGCTGGATGTGAATGTGGGAGTAATGGTCCATAAGCAAATGTGACATAAAAAGAAGTCATCCAGGAAAGCAGCCTGCTGAACTCAGAAAGCCTAGCTGTAGTGGGAGATGCTGTTATTTCAAAACAGCTTTCGTCTTTTGGGGTGGGAGTCATTTTGTCATAGGAGAAGCAACTGCATAATGTCCATGGCATTCACATACTGGTCAATGAAAGTCAGTCCCTGGCTTCGAAATCATGTAGCTGTATGCATTTTCCATTTGAATGCTGTATTAGGAGAGCCTCTGCTCCTCCATTCCCTCCCCCATCTTTCCCTTCTCCTTTTCAGCAAAAAGAGATCTCACCAACAAAGAGAAAATAGATTGAAAGCTCTTGCATCCAGACTCTTTCAAGCAAAGCTTGAGAGAGACTTTGGCACATAATGTCTCTAACATTATGTTCACTGCCCTTAGAAAGCAATAACCAAATACATTCTGCTGGCAGTTAGCAAGTGCAGTGATTTCAACACAGATGAGAGAAGAGAGGACAAAGAAAGAATATGCTTAGAGCATCCCTTTCACTAGGAACCTATGGGCCAGCTGGAGTGTTTACAAAGCTCTAAGGCCAGCCAGCAGGGAGTTGCAATAATCTAATTTTAATTATGTGACAAAAGCATGAAGAATCATTTCAAGGGCTAACAGAGGAAAATGGTTGCAGCCTGCCAATATTCCTTAGATGGTAAAAGAAGACAAGTTAACTCACAGAATTTAGTTGTTTCTCAAAAGACTAAATGGGATCTATCACAACTCCCTGCCTGTTGTTGTTAGAGAACAAATTGGTTGCCAGAAAAAGGCTTTAGATGTTAAAGAAAGTTCCCGAGAGGCATCTAGGCAGAACAGCAATACCTATGCTCCTCTTCTTAAACAAAAGACATACTCTACCAGCAAGAAAACAAAGTCCTGTAATCACATTAAAGTAGCTAATAAGAAATACAGAGTATACAAGTTGCTAGGTATAAATTGACAGACTTTCAGTCTGAGTTCTCCGGCATCACAGCCTTCTGGTAGGATCACAGTAATAAAACAATTGTTTTGCTGTCCCAAAGCAAAGCACAATTAATAAAAGGGGAGGAGAGGGAAGGGAAAGAAAGGGAAAGGGAAAGGGGAAGGAAAAGGGGAATGGAAGGAGAAAGGGAAGGGGCAAAGCTCAAATCCTCCTGCTTTGCACACATCTCGGCCCTTTGGCAGAAAAGGAGTGTTGTCTCCTGACAATAACAGAACAGAGCTCACAGGAATGAACCAAATCATTTTGACTCCACTGAGTAGATGGCCATAGTAAAAACATGGGGAAACAAGTTACATTTCGCGCTACCAGAAGATGAATCCATAGGTTCTTATTTTAGGATTTTCTTCATCTTTCTGGATGCACTGAATCCAAGCTTTCAGTACAAGGATATCCTTAACTTTATTTTTCAGTAATACTTCATATTACAATAGCTCTCTTTAATCTGTTGTTGCATGGGGATTTCAAGCTTTTGTTTTATTACTGCTTGAGACATCTAGTAGTGAACAAAACTTCAGTCTTTTGCAAAGGCATTACTGGAAATACCACATTTTCAAGAAATTCCCATTAAATAATTTAACTGTCAGTGGGGCTTCATGGGAACTTTCACATAATGGGATAGCTTGTTTCAGAGCTTGGCGATGTGCTTGAGCTATTCTCCTTGCCACAGCATCACTTTGCTGACAGTGCTACATAGGATGCCAAAAAGTGCAGGTAGTCTGGTTTTGCTTCTACTTTTCATTATTCCATTAAGTCAAATATCACACTGCTAAATAAGTGCATGGCTTTCAAGTTCAAGAAATGTTAACCTTGCTCGCTGTATATAAAATCCTTAGTTAAAATACCGTATCATAATTTAGAGCAATTGTCATTTGCAGTAGGAGCACACTACAATAATATGTGTGTGTTAAGCAAAACCAGAGTGTGGTGTGTGTAGTCACTGTTTTAGCATAGTCCTGTTTACATCTGGGTCTGCAGTTCTGCAGAGAGAGTGTATCGTGGAAATAGGATTTGTCTCCTGTATTGCCAATGGAAAAGCATGTGAAAGTGGTGTAATATTTATTGTGCATGTCCTCAATATTAGTGTAGTTCTCTCTGTAGAATCAATTAGGTCTCTCTGTAGAGTGTCTTTTTAATGAAAGTCTCTACACAAGTACAAATGATTATTAATAAGGTACTATACAAATCATTACTAATAAAGTAACAAACTTAAAACTTTTCTCTGCTAACATCCTGTATTCCTCTCTTCTTTAGAATGGTCTCAGTGATAATCATTACTCAGTGGAGCTTCAGAGTCATTATTGTCATCAATACTGCCAGCAGATATTGCCATCTGTAAATTACTTTTCTCCATTATGTGCCAGTGCTGTTCTTGTTCATGACCAACACTGTCATTCAGATTTGCATAACTTGGGGTCTTTCTCTGAATTTAGCCACTCTTGCATGGGATTTCCTTCCAACACTAAGTGCTTTTGGCTCAGGTTAGTAGTGCCTTTTTGGATTTCTCTGGAGTAGGATTTAAGGTGTGATGTTAACACTCCTTCACTGATTTTAAAAGTTTCCCTGACCCAGGTTTTAACACAGACATCTTGCATACACTTTGAAAATATGTCTTCTGTCACATGGTAACACGTACTGCTGTCACACCCTGAATCAGGGCCAGCTTCAGGCACAGATAACGAAGGCAATCTCCTGTGTCCAGCAGTCTGTCCTCAGTGCCTATGGTACCTGTGCTGGAGGAGGTGAGACTGAGCTATTTGACCACTACGTGCTGCCCAAGCATCAGTTCTTGTTGCCAGTGACTGAAGATGTCAGAGCAAAAAGGGGGACAAGGTGAACAAAGCAATAATTACTGTTGTGAGGGCTGGGAATGGTTCATCTTTACAGCCAAAGTCACTGATGCCTCTCTTGAGAGATGCTACTGGGGCTGTTGAGAGATGTAGCATAATGCTACATTGGGTCTTAAAATGTAAAATAAGTTGTTTTTGCAGCTAGACAGCAACCATTAGCCTGCTGATGCTTGAATTCATCTAACAGGTTTACATGGGTAAATGAAGCAATTTTTGAGTCCTGCTAGCCAAGCTGTACAATATTCCTGCCTCTTCAGAGCATGTGCTAGGCATAAAGTCAGACTGATGAATTCTGGGCAAATCATTGGATAAATTTAGGAAACGTGTTAGGAAAGGGGAGTGGGGAAAAAAAAATAAGGGTAGAATTTGGGTTGTCACCAGCTTTCAGCTGATATAGAAGTTTGTGTAAAGGTTTATGACTACCTGCTGACATGAATAATTCTTCAAATAGCTCTCAAGCAAACATTTTATACTCTACTGTTATTT